ACGGCTAGCGCAGATAGCCCTCGTGTAGCTTTGCGCGAAATTAAAAAAACAAACAAAAAAACTTATGTTACAGAGAATTGTTGCTTGATTATTGAGGTAGAGAATGTGTTAGTCAATTTGTTTGTTCTTGCTAGTCAATAAGTTTAATATAGATTTTTTTTTGTATTTTAATGAAACATTAAAGATACGAGAAGTACCGTACTCACGAGAGTAGTTAGCAAGTAAGTGTGAAATTGTATTATTAACGTCCACTGTCAACTTAGGCCTATCACTGAAAGTTAGTTAAGCCAACTTGTATAACTGATAATCGAAAAAATAACACGCTTTAATTAAACATGCTGAATATTACATGATTATTCTATAGAATAATCCCATAGAACTTTCCCAACAAGAAAAATTGTTAGAACACAAATGTCAGAGTGGGAGCACGTGGATAGCGACACTCCAACTGGCTCAAAATAACATAGTCGATTGACGTCATGAATGATATGTGACGTAAGATTCCGCATACATCACAAGTTAAGTTTAGGCTCGAACGTTTCGAAATTTATTGTTTGACTTTCTGGAAGTCAGTTATTTTCTGTCTGCAAAATTTAAGCTACTGTTTCATTTAGCTTTAGGATTGTTAAACTGATCTTTGTAGACAGAACAGGTCCAATAGAAAAAAATAAAAATAAATTCACCTTTCAGAGTTTCATATTTACTGTCTGTGAAGTTTGGCTTTTGGTTTCCATACTTCTTTTGGAGAATAAGTAAATGAGTTTGTTATTTGTGATGAGATTTGACATACTATATGGATGTAATTCTGACATCGGTTCATAGTCCCAGGAGTTGGTAGCGGTAAGTGAATGCTTAGGAGTTACCCTAACATACGGAGTAGGAGATCCCGCCACAGACACAGCACAGACAGCATATTATGTATTATACATCGGATCTCAACGTGTATATTGTTTCCATCAGTCTTACTACTTACTGTACATTTGGCTTATCATACTCAGTTCCGTAACTTGTAAGATTGTCTGGCATTAGAAGTTCCTATATTACCACAGTCAAAACCGCTACATGGCTGCATTTTGTATGAATGAGATAGGCATTATGTAACAAGAAAACTGCACGTAAGTGGTAATCATCTAGCTATAATGTTCAAAAATCCACTTATGTATTAGTTGGATGTCATAATCCCTTCCACCGGGTGTAGCTTTGTGAAATTGTAGATTTTGTCTTTTCTGAGACTTTGGATGGTATTTTGAAATCTCATTTTTTGTAATGCTTACCAAATGATATGTAATATAAATTTATACGGAGTATTAGGTAATCAAAAAATTTCTGTAAAGTGATTCTTCTTTTTTTTTACATGGTTTATGTTCGGAACCGTTTTTGGTTTTGGTTGTTGTTAAGCCAAAGCTACACACTGGACTATCTATCTATGCTCTGCCCATCACGGGTATCGAATCCTGGTTTTTAGTGTTATAAACCTTCAGACTTACCGCTGTGTCGTTGGGGGCGTTTGGAAATGTAATCGCACAACAAGTCAAGATATTTGGGTATCCACACCAGACATTAGACCATATATACAATACCACTCACCTATCAAAAGCCATATACGAAAAAAAAGGGGAAGAGGACAGATGACTCATTTTTTACTGATCAAAATGCTTCAACAACACATTCCTCCACAGCTAGTAATCAGTCAACAACCAAAGCACTTTTTTTGTTGACAGCTTCAAACTGACCTTAGTACTGGACTATCTCTTCCTCAAACCACATCAAGTAATCAACAGAACATTAAAAAACTTGCTAATAAGTTCAAAACTCGTGAATACCAAGTGAAATTATCCTCTAGCAGGCTTTCTTAACAGGCAGAAAGGAAGAAGTATGTTGTTACAACACATTCTACTAGACCTGCAATGTTTTCATGTGGGTGTTAAATACATTTAAAAGGACAAGAGCCCTCATTTTGCCTTTTATTGTTACTAGTAGAATCAGAAATTAGCATGTGGCATAGAAAAACAATGAGTTGAATATATTTATATATTTGTACATGTATATTTTTTGTTAAATTTATATATTGTTAGCCTCCAGTGGTACAGCGGTATATCTGCCGATTTACAACGCTAGAAACCGGGTTTCGATACCCGTGGTGGGCAGATCACAGATAGCCCATTGTGTATTTTTTTTTGCATAACTACAAACAAACAAACAATATATTGTAAATGAAAGTTTTGTTCATTACAACAAGTTTCTATTGCACATACATGACAGTAAAGGAACTGCTTCATCACTGTAATGAGTTACCAAAATATATCTTAATTAAAAGGTTGTTATTACAGAAATTAAATCTCTTGAAGTTGTTGTTCAAGTTAATTAAGCTGTAGTTAAGTTGTTCGAAACTGAGAAAACTTGGCATTATATACTAACTACAACAAAGACATTCTTCTCAGCCACGCAGGCGCCAAATAAATGACTGACAATCAATCTCATTTCAAAGTAAGAGATATTATATCATTGGGACATCACCCAACTTGCCAACAGAAAATATCACTGTCACTTTCCGTGTGAGATATGCTATATTTCAGCAATATTTCCTACTAGAGAGCAGGCGTAACGCCCTTATGAACTAACCTAGTTTCGGGAATAACTTGAGCGAGAGGAACTTAGAAGCACAGAAAGTTTGGAAAAATAACACATACATTAAGGGGCTATGAAACGAATGGCATGGCTGTATCCCACATCAGAATGATATTTTAAATGTACATAGACAATCGAAAGATGCTTGCAGTTTAGATATATGGATTCAGGCTGATGTGAATAGCAATCCAATCTTAATTATGAGCCACAAGGTGAGGAATGCTACCAGTTGGATAAGAATGGTTTTTTTCATAGGAATGCAAAAACTGTCTCAAAAAAAGATGATTCAAAATTATGGTAAATAAGTGGTGTGTCTAGACTCAATACAATACTCATACAATACAATATCTCACTCCTAGTAATAGATGACTATGGAGAAGCGGTCCCTAATGCACACAGTTACTGAGTCCTTTATGGAAGCATTAAAGTAAGATGCAAGGATTGTGAAACAAATGGTTTGATTTAGCAAAGAAGTTTTACAATTCTTGAACAGGAGTATCCAAGGCTTAAGAAAAGGCTATACTGATATTAGCATGTATATATACATTGGTGAAAAGACTAAAACATATTAATTCATACAAAAGACATCCTGAAAACTGCACATTACGAGACCAGTGAATGAATTTTACACAAAATTATGTAGCATATTTTGGTAGCCTTACAAAATATATCTCCATAACTTAATGGCTATTTTAATTTTAGCATCTTTTGGTAGCCTTACAAAATATATCTCCAATACTTAATGGCTATTTTAATTTTAGTATCTTTTGGTAGTCTTAGAAAGATATATATCCATAACTTAATGACTATTTTCATTCTAGCATCTTTTGGTAGTCCTACAAAAAATATCTTCATAACTTAATGACTATTTCCAGTTTAGCTATGTTTATAACGATAAGTGTCGTTTGAGGGCGGCATAATTCAGGACTTGGTCCATGGAAAAACAAATATATTTGCTGAGGTGTTACACAAACAAATAAGAACTACTTCATTAGGAAACAAAATAGAAGGGTGGATAGCCTTATTATTGTGCTCGTGTAATTATTTAGAGACATAGTAACTGAACAGCTTATAAAGCCTGAAAAGGAAGGAACAAACACAGAAGGAAAGAAGACAAAAACAATTGAAAAAGGTCAAAAACATTGAATATACAAAAGTTGAAGAGTGGAGAGTACCATCTAGTAGCAAAGAAATCATACATTACATAGTCAAACGAGTGGCTGACACTTGTGACAATACGTGTAAAATTTCATATTTCTAATGTAGATAGTGTCCTGTATGCACCTTCCCGCTGTTCGTATAACAGTGAACGAGGACAATGGTAAATGGACAGCCCTATTGTCAGTTATTGAAGCTGATAATCAATCAGAAATGGATTTGTTTAAAATGTGATATGCAACGAAAATAACCCTGTTTACGACGTGGATATGCATAAATTATGAAATGCGGCATTAAAGAGAGTAAATAATATGATGAAGTTTATACAGGAAGTTCATAACACAGACACTATAGTGCATGCTTGGTCACATTAATTCTGCATAAATTACGAAATGCGGCATTAAAGAGAGTAAATAATATGATGAAGTTTATACAGGAAGTTCATAACACAGACACTATAGTGCATGCTTGGTCACATTAATTCTGCTGCAGAAATAGGATATGAACTTGAAAGTATTCACATATATCGCTACTATAAAGAACAAGTATCTATTCTATGTAACTTGAACTTTAAACCCAAACTCAATTATTCAGCCCTTACAAAAAAGCATCCAAACGTTCAAAGGCATATTTATCATTCCCTTCATCTAAAAATGTCTTAGAAGCCTAATAAAACGTGTGCTCCCTCTATCTTAAGGAAGATGACCAGCCACACGGGAATATTTCCCATTAGTTGGAATGTGCAATATTTTTGAGTTGAATACACGTTGTCTATGATGTAGAGGTAGGAAATGCTGATAAATAAAACTAAACATGTTCAATGTGCAGGATATAGTATCAAACAAATCAGTTGTACATTTACATGGACTTTTCAAAGTGCCACCGACTTATCAAGGTCAGTGAAACTTTCAGGGTCGTTTTATCGAAAGGGCAAAAGCAGCAGTTGTCCAAGGTTCACTGCCATCAGAGTCCCACCGAGCGTTGCGGATATAATAATAGTTAATAATAAACCAGTTTTTTGTAAGAAATATATATTTTTCTTTTTTTATTCCCTTAGTTTTTCATTACTAATAACTTCAGCTTATTGTATGGTATTTTCTTAAAAACAGGGGAGAGGGGGGCACTATTTTATACATCGCCCAGACCCCACTAGTGCCTTAACGCAACACTGGACACTTTTAAAGAGTATTTGTGTTGTTAAGTTGTGCAATAATAGTTTCATACATGAATTTGGTTTTCATTCAAGTGTTTTATGAATATTTGGTTTTATTTAATAAATCAGTGATTACAAAAAAAAAGGAATCTTGCTTCGCGTCAAATATAGTTATTTATATACATTTCATATATTTTTCGCTACACAACTTCTTGAAATAATATTTTCAATTTAGAACTACATTGAAAGTGTAATTATCGTTGTTTAAGAGAATGTTTGAGAGAGAAAAAAAGCAAATTAACATATTAAAGTTATAAATTATGTTTACTGGATTAGATAACTCAGCTTATACTATAGAGGGATTACACTAAATGATAAAATCTAAATGTGGTAAAGAATATTAAAAGTGAATTGTATGACCATTTGTTATTTGTATTTCATTGTTATCGATGAATCTATAATGTACAGACTATTTGAAAAATGCAAAGAAACTACAGATTTCGTTATTTGTCGATGTTAATAAGTTTAATTATCTACAATATTGTAACACTTCTGCTTGATTTCTATCGATATCATTTCACTACAACGGATAGAATGCTTGTATTGTGCACTGCATTGTAAACTTTTGTTTGTTTGTGAATTTCGCGCAAAGCTACATGAGGTCTATATGCACTAGTCGTCCCTAATTTAGCAATAAAATACTAGAGGAAAGGCAGCTAGTCAACCCACAGCCAACTTTTGGGCTACTGTTTTACCAACGAATGGTGGGATTGACCGTAACATTATAACTCAACCACGGCTGAAATGGCGAGCATGTTTGGAAGGAGGGAGAGATGGAGATTCGAACCCGAGACCCGCAGATTGCGAATCAAACGCCCTAACCACCTGGCCATGCCAAGCCTCATTAGAAAAGTAACAAGAAATGATTTATCTTAATGTTATTTTCTTGTGATCTTCCTAATTTTATATATAATGTGATATAAAATTTTCCTTTCATTGAGGCCTAAAATTGATAATAATACTCCATGATTTTGTAATGTTTTAAAAGGGAATTGATGAGGTTCTAAGTCTGTCCATTTTGTTCGAAAATCTTCCTGCAGAACAATAACAGGTTGTTTTGTATGTATTGACAAAGTTTTTCTACAAGCTAAACATACGCTAATAACTTCATGATTCAAACGTAGATGTCATTATAAAGTTTTAATATCTATTGCATACAATTTTGTGAAAAGAATACATGCATTTCTAATCTACTTGTTTTAGTAAAAAGTGAATAAGGTCACTTATAAGTAAATTTGTTAAACAAGATGTATACCATGAAATACGAAAAAACCGCCATTTTACTTAAGATAAGTAATAAAATCAGTATGCACCAAAATATTGTTTGTAGTTAAGCACAAAGCTACACAATTAGCTCTCTGTGCTGTGCCCACCACAGGTATCACAACCCGGTTTCAAGCGCTATAAGTACGTAGTCTTATCGCTGTGCCACTGGGGGCCCAACAGATGGTACATTATTAATAAAAAATATTCACAGTCGTCTTCACTGCCAGTTGGTAGATAAAATGAGCTGACCAATATTCTGTTAAAACGTGTAGTATGTTCCACCAAAAATAAACAACTTCATTGTGCTTATAAATCGGTCTTTACAAATTTATTATTATATTAGCGTAATATACTTCCATACACAAATAAATCAACCACTAACGAATTACCCCGACACTTGTTTACACCAGGACGACTTAATTTTCAAGCTTACCTTGTTCTAAACCTTTACATAACATTAAGTGTGTTAGGCGAGGACTACTTTTCTATCTTGTTTAAAATTATCCGTGTCATTTTTTTAGATAATAAAATTCTGTTAGATTGTAAATTTTAGATTGTACATTTTAAATTCAGAACATTAGTCAATGAAACAAAATTAGGGAGTAAAACGAAGAAACAACTCTGCTTTGAAGTTTGATTTGATAAAGAATTGCACATAAAGTTCGTTAATATAAAAATATAAATAAATTTAATTATATTTTCATACTTACTTGATTGGCACTGAAATTAAGCGACATTTTGTTACTTTTTATAACAATTTTGAGATTTTATAAAAAAAAATTTCCTTGGTCTTCTGCAGTAAGTACTGAATGAATCACTGTTCGAACACAGCTTAGAAATTACATCGTGAAAACAGTTGCTATAGTAACAGAGATCTTTAAGTATAAACAAGTAAAAATTGATTTCGAAAGTGAACAACATCAATTCATTGTTTAAAGTAATATTATTAATATTACATTTGAACAATATTTTTATATATTACCTTTTCTGAAATTAGTTTTTAAACATTTTAAATCGGTCCTGGCATACTAACCCTTACTCTTATTAGGCCTAACATTAATTACACTTGTTATAATACATTAATATTAGGTCTATTATATTTTGTAACACTGCAATATTTCTTCAGGCCATTAAGGTTTTTTAAGAATGAGTAATACTAATAGCTGTTTGTCGACGATGCGTATACACCACAACAATTGTAATTTGTTGTATTTTAATACCAGGATTGTCAACATGGTTTCACAAGTGGGGAAATATTTCCTTACTAATCTTTTGAATTTCTTTTAAGAGGTTACTGGATTTTCAAAACCATTTGATAAGATTCCAAATAAAAGGCTTGTTAAAATGAACTCTTAGTGAGTTTGTTTGTTTGTAATTAAGCACAAAGCTACACAATGGGCTATTTGTGCTCTGCCCACCACGGGTTTCGAAACCCGGTTCTAGCATTGTAAGTCCGCAGACATATCGCTGTGCCACTTGGGGGGTCTCTTTGTGAGAGTGTGGGGAATAAGATGGCTCTTTGGATAGAAAAATGGCAGAGTGTTGCTATAAATGGGGGGTGAATCAAACTGAATTAATCATTTTAATGTCACAAGTGGGGTACTTCAGGGCTCAGTGCTAGTATTGTTGCACATTTTAACTTACATCAACCATACAGATGACGGAATGGTCAATAGATTACATACATTTGATGATATGAAGGTATGAGTGTTGCTGGCTGTGAGGTGGATGCTGCTGCATTTTAAATGAATTTACCTCCCAGTTGCTTAGGAATAAGTCTGAAGGTTTATAGCACTGAAAACTGGATTTTGATACTCCTAGTTGACACAGCACAGATAGCCCATTGTGTATCTATGCACTTAGACAACAAACTAAATAAAAATCAAAAGGATTTAGATTAATTGGTGCAAGAATAAATGGCAGATGACTTTTAATTATAATAAATGCAAATTAGTGCATGTGGCTTATCATAATTTAAATGATCTTAACAGTATTATAGAAGAAAAGGATCTTGGTGTAAATGTAATGGTTGATCACTCTCAAGCAATTCAAGCAGTGTGCTTTTGTTAGTGGTACAGTAAATAGGATTTTATGTTGTAGTTACAGAAATTTTGAATACAAGTCTACATAGGTCACTGGTTAGGTCTCATTTGGAGTGTTGTGTTCAGCCTTAGGTACTTACTTTAGGAAGGGCATTAAATTGTTGGGAAGCGTTCAGTGGAGGGTCACTAGAATGTAATGGGGGTAAACAAGATAATGGAAAAAAAAGATAAAGAAAAAAAAGACAACAGAAGAAAAATCAATTGGAAAAAAAAAAGAGAAAGAAAACTACACAAACAGTTAAAAAAGTCCTATATTTAGTCAATGATTAGAAACCATGTTGAAATATATATAGATGTACAAACAAATTATAGAAAGGATAAACAAAACAGTAGGGTTTAATAGCAAGTGTTGAACAATAATGGGAAGCCATGTATTAGAAAAATGTATTGTTGGTTCACATGGTTTCAAAAATTAGCTCAGGCTTGGTTTAGCTGTTATTGATACTATTTTCCAAAATACTTTTTTTTACCTGTTTATGTAAACTTCTTTTGTCTTTTTTTACCTTGATTCACTAGGATGGACAGGTAAAAATATCTGAAATTGTTTTCTCTTGAAAATAGGAAGTTAGAGGGGGTGTGATTGAGATGTTCAAGATTGTTTAGGGAATTGATAGTGTCAAAGCATATTTTCTTGTACTTAATGGTGAGAATGATAAGACTTGGGGACACAAATATTAATTTTGGCAAGGTAACAGATATCTTCATCCAGATGGTTTTATTTTTCTAACAACACGGTTTGACTTTAGATCTGGTAGATGCAGTAAATTGAAATGAAGACTTATAGTAAGAGCTGGTTTTGAATGTTTTTATTTTGTTGTTGTTGATGAGTGGATGAGACAGCCTAGATGAACCAATAGCTATCTTGTAGTCCTTAAATTTCAAGTTGTAGGTAATCAAATCTGCATGTGTCTCAAGTAAAGCAAGAAAATTTAATGATCAAACTTAATGTTTTAGATAATATGGGAGAACTTAAGGCTGTCATTATCATAAAACCCTTCCAATCTTAAACTATACTATTTATAAGTTAAGAGTAACACTATCATGGTATCAGTTCTTTCATTGTTTGCAAAGCATGTACTGGTGTGTAGTACAAAAAATTATTGTACCTCTGATATATTTAATAAATGAAATGAAATTTAAGTGCTCAAATGATGAAGTATTATTAATATTCATCATCATCATCATAGACAGCAGTACATCGATAATTCTACCGATGCTTAGCTGCCACACAATCATATAAAAATTAATATTAGAAATTAATTAATTAGAAATTAATATTAGTACTCATCAACACCCTTAATAAGTTTTGGAATTTCATAATTTG